AATCCATGATACGATTTACTCGTCCGCACAGATTTTGTCGGCAGAGAATGTGGAGAGGAACTGCCGTGGGCTTTCAATGAACGTGTATCAAAAGAGGCCTTCGGTCGAAGTTTCCGCCTTGAGATAATAGAAGCTGAAGGTCTAAGCTTTAGACGATCCATGTTTGAGATACCGCTCCCCGAGGCGACGTTGTGATGTGCTTCGAAATCTGAATCGTCGGTCGGTGCTTCTACTCGCAAGTGATCTCCTTGGTCAGAGCTGGCGGGGTCATCAAACAGACCGCCCAACGGGGGACGTCGTGTCTGTGATGGATAACTCGATAGGAGATCATCTGTAGCACCTCGGAGCGAAGACACGGGAGAACCTCTTTCGCGAAGAGATTTGGCACTCTGATTGTGAATAGAGTACATTATACCCTTGGATCGTGACAAGGAAGCGCCAAGAGGGGATTGATCAGCACTAAATGTCCCGCCCTCATCGTCGGCATGCATCTCATCCTCGAGGTTATCATAGAACTTTTTGAGCGCGTTCGATCTCGTGGACGCATTGCGGAGTCTAGTGTCCGTGTCCCGGTACTGCTCCAGGATCTCGCGGTTGGTAGCTTCTAGCTCCTGGATCTTTGAGAGAAGCTGACCTAAGAGTGTAAGTTCCGGTGATGGTTCTCCTGTGTTTGGGTTAAGGCGCGAAGTCTCTACTTCACTGGAAGGGAACGGAACACTTTCAGGGGTGCTAGTCTGCGAGTTCACCCCAACACTTCCTTTACGCTTAGAAGGCGTAAAAGATTCCGCAGGGGCAAAGTTTTGATACCCTACAATGTCTTCTTCGGAAGGGTGATGAGTAGATGTATGGGCCTCCCTTTCCAGTCGCTGAGCTTCCATTTGACGATCATGTTCTGACTTGACCTTGTCTATTCGCTCTTCAAGTTCACCATTCTTCTGGTGGGATTGCTCTAACTCGACTCTCAGACCAGCGATCTCCTTTTCAAGTTTTCTCAACTTTTGTTTGCCCTCGACATTTGCGGCATTTGTTTCGTCTTGACCTTTGCCCTCTGGGCAGTCGAGGTCCTATTACTCGTCTCTATTGAATATCAAA